GGTGCGACCGGACGCTAAGCGGTCAAGTGACCGGACGCTGAGAGGCAACGTCCGGTCGACTCCAGTATGGTTCCAAAAGAGTAAATCTGCGACCGGACGCGTCCGTCAAGGTCTGAACCGGGACCACGAGGTCCCAGCATTCGGTCGAGTCTGATAAGCATCCAGTGAGGGAAAAATGGGACCGGACGCGTCTGGTCAGTGGTGGCCGGACCCTGTCAGCGTCCGGTCAACACATAAACACTGGTGTGCGGGTTGAACTGACCGGAGCGTCTGGTCAACATGATTGGAGCGTCCGGTCACCCCGTAGAGGCACATAACGGTTCATTTTTCTAGCTGTCTTATAAATAGAAGCTCCACTCGTGTGTGAAGGTACTTTTTGCTCATTTCAACAGATGAAACACACCTTAGAGAGTGCAAAGAAGAGCAAGGTCCTAGTGAGGTGATTGAGATTTGAGAATCCCAAAGAGAAACCTCATTAGTGAGATCAAGGGTAGCAAAGTGTGCATCCACCCTTCTCCCTAGGCTTGTCGTGGTCAAGTGAGAGTTCATGCTTGTTACTCTTGGTGATCGCCATCACCTAGACGGCTTGGTGGTGATTGGAGAGCTTGGTGATCATCTGGAGAGCTTGTGGATGACCCAACTCAAGTTGTGAGCGGTTGTGGGTGATTCACCGCGACGGAGTGTCGAAGAATCAACCCGTAGAGAGCACTTGATCCTTGCGCAGATCAAGGGGGAGCTACACCCTTGCGCGGGTGCTCCAACGAGGACTAGTGGGGAGTGGCGACTCTCTGATACCTCGGGAAAATATCGCCGTGTTTCCTCCCCTCTCTTTACTTTGAGCATTTCAATTCTTGTCATTTACATTCCTAGAATTGCCATGCTAGAGTAGGATTGGAACTAGGTTGCTAAACTTTTGTGCGTTAGATCAATAGAAACATTTCTCTAGGCATAAGGGGTTAATTGGGCTAACCATATGACTTGTTTATTGCGAAGAAATTTAGAATTAGCCCAATTCACCCCTGTCTTGGGCATCTTGATCCTTTCAACCTCAACATTGGTAGTGTCTATGGCGCGGTGTCACACCTCGGCGATGGTGCTGAAGCTGCTCTCCCCAAGCACCTGTGTCACCGTTGTGCTGTAGAGGGGTGGTGGCGGCGGGATAGGGCTCTAGATGGAAGGGCGGCGGTGGCGGATGGGCATGATAGTGGGAAGACTAGCACGACAGTGGGGGAAGTCGCGAGCAAGTTGGGTGGCCAGCCGAGCGATGAGGGTGGAGATGAAAAAACAAGGATGAAAATTGTCTTTTTACTAGAGAAAAGCAAAACTTTAGACCACTTTAGTACACTTGCTTGGAGACTCTATTTAGAGTTGGCTAAATTTTACAAAATATTTAGACCACCTGCGCCTTGGAGCCTCAAGAGATAAAAACTTTAGGGGCTAAACTTTGGGCCATAGGATTCAAACTGGATTAGATGGATACCAAATCATGGCAATTTAATTCACGAAGAGTCATGCATGACGACCGGTCACAAGTCAGCAGAGCCAACTATGGCCCTGTTTGGAACAAAGATTTGCGACCACGCGGTGCGGTATCCCATCCACAGCTTCGTGGCTATGATACCGGGAATCTATGGTATATTTCATTTTCTGATTTTTCTCCTTATGGGTGGGCGGTTGCGAGAATCATGGCCACCTGAAAGGTCCTAATATGGCTAGAGGGGTGAATATCCTATTTAAAACTCTATAAATTGACTAGAGCAATTAATTAGTACAACAAATGACGTAATACAATTTTGCTCTAGCTCTACGAGGGTTGCAAGCCACCTATCCCAACAATTTTAGCTGCTATGATCACTAGGCACACAACAAGGCTATGTTGCTACTCACTAAGAGCTCTCAAGAAAGCTACACTAAAGAGCTCCACTAGATGAAACTAAACCACAAAGCAAGCTCTCAATTCTAGCTACATTAAAGAGCTTGCTACAACTAGTTTGGGGAAAAGTAAATGGAGTGAGTAGGGTGATTATACCGCCGCGTCGAGGAATGAACCAATCACAATATGAATATGACCAATCACCAGGAGAAATCTAATCACACAAAAGACACAAGGTTTTTCTCCCGCGGTTCACGTGCTTGCTGGCATGCTAGTCCCCGTTGTGTCGATCAACACTTGGTGGTTCGGCGACTAATAGGTATCACACACCTAGCCCACCACAAGGGGCGCCGCAAGAACCTACCCACAAGTGAGATAGCTCAATGATACGAGTAATTTACTAGAGTTATCTTTGGCGCTCTGCCGGGGAAGGCGCTAGACCCCTCACAAGCAACCGATCGAGCCCGGAGATAATCACCAACTCTGCTCAACGATCCTCCAATCACCGGGCCATCTAGGTGGCGGTAAACACCAAGAGTAACAAGCTCACACCCAACCCAAATCACCCAACTAGTGCCACAAGATGATGCAACTCAATGCAATGCACTAGAGGCTCTCTAAACTCACTTAAAATGATGAAATCAAGTGAACAAGTGAGTGGAGTGTGTTGCTCCGTTTCCAAAGGGTGTGCACAAGTGTATGAAGTGTCAAGAGAGTGGCCAAGGCCGGCCACACCCTCTATTTATAGCCACACAAGCAAATAGAGCTGTTATACCTCTTGGAGCTATTTTTGCGAGGTCACCGGACATGGCGGTGCCAGGCACCGGAGAATGGCGGTGACATGCCCAACGGTCGAATTTTAACGGTCACAAACTAGCCATTGGGGCATCGGACAGCGTGGTGGTGACCACCCTGCCGAGCCCCCCGTTTCCCTACTCTCTAGATAAAAAGGGGCGGTGCACTGCCGCACCCATGGTGGTGACCATGGTGGTGCCCCCCGCATTCGGTGCTCTTGGGTGAAACACGGCGGTGGCACCGGACAATCCATGGCAGTGACCGAGCGGTGCACCGCCGTGCCCATGGCGGTGTACACCGGCATGTCCGGTGACCACCCCAAACTGGGCGCTCTCGGCCCTTCTCTACTGAGCCCAGGTGGGCACCGCCCTAGGGGTGGTGGTGCCACCGGACAGGGGTGGCAGTGCCACCCAAGCACCACCACTAGCTCTTCGAGTTGCAAACTTTTGCGCGATTCGATCCACTTCAACTCGAGCTACTCCCCTCAAGCGATGCTAACTCTCAAAGTGTTTTCTCAAAACATATTAGAGTCAAGTTAGCATTTCTCAAATCATTTTCCATAAATATTTTTGCTTACTCTCCGAAGTGCACTAGGCCTAAATGCAATGCATGAAATCCAACACCTAGTGGCACTAGGTGACCGAATTGTCTAGTTAAGAACCCCTCTTAATAGTACGACCATCTATCCTAAATGTGATCACACTCTCTATAGTGTCTTGATCATCGAAACAAAATCTCTATTTATACCTTGGCCTTTAGCTCCATAGGATTTTGTTTTTCTTTCTTTTTTTCAAGTTGAGCACTTGATCATCATCACATGTGGCCATCTCAACATTTCATGTGATCATCACCTTCTCTTGAGAGCCACCATGCTCCATACTTGGATTGCACCAACCTAGCCCATCTCACAACTCATGACAAAGGTTAGTGCTAGGTTTCATCAATTATTCAAAATCAAATTAGGGCTTTCACCACCGTCATGCATTTGTCAGGATTTTTCTGATTCTCACCGTGGGACGCCCAGGAATCCTATTATAATCGGTTCCAAACAAGCCTATAAGAGCAAAGGTATAGCATGTAATCGCCAATAGTTCGATAAAAAAAGTTGACACGAGTGATCCGCACGCTAGCCGTGTATTATGTGCGGGCACATCGATAGTGAAAAAAATGCATCCACTTTCTTCTTTACTAAGAGCAAGATCAATAATAGAGCCAAGTTGCTTGGCTATAAGACAAGTTATAAAAACCAAGTTATATAATAAGTATCTCCTATTTGTTTTTAAAAAGTCTCTATCTCCTATTCCTCCTCAGAGCGAGGCTAATAATACAACCGACTGCTGGCTGTATGAATCCTTACAGCCTACCTCTCAGCCCACTCATATACTGGTTACATCTCCGTAATTAATATCTGACCCACTTGTCTCTCTCACAAAGTTTTTTGTTTATTGTGTCCAAGCCAGCTATGAGCTTATAGCCCGCTTTTTCTCTCTTCTTTCCTCTCTGCTCCACCTCAGCATTCATCCTGCTTACAGCCCATTATTTTACTTGCTCTCACAACCCTTGCTATTTGTGCCACTAATACACATGCTTCCATGCCCAGCTTAGTGCTTACATGGGAAACAAGCTCTCATCTCATCTCTTCTCCACATTAGCAGTAGCTTAGCTATAAACGCATTATTGTACCTGCTCTAAAGAACAGCTTCCATTTCCCAGAGGATACATTCCACCTCGTTCCTGAGTTGCCAATTCCAAAACAATTGTTAACCCGGCCCGGTTCGTTTATAAACATTTTCATAGCAAGCTTGCGCGCAGCGTAGAAAGGAATAGTTTGCGCGGCTAGCTCCTCCTCGCTGGCGCCAGTGTTTGCCCCTTGCACGCACGGTCGCTACAAAGCGGTCTCCTCCACGTTTTTCTAATAGGCGGCCGTGACTTTTAAAAAAAAATCCTCGTCGCCTTAGCTTTCGCGATCGAGCTGCTCTAGCTACTACCTCTACGTGCCAAGGCTGTTCGTTTTCGTTCCATGAGTTGCAATCATGATCCCCGAAGCAACACAGCGTGCTCGCCTCCCTCCTATAGAAAACTGATCGATCTCTGAGTCCTCTTCCAAATCCGATCGATCAGCTCACACATATGACCTAGCGTAGCTGAAATTCTTTATCCGGTCAATTCAAGCCGCCAAGCAAGATTACAAGAGACACAAGAATCTTCCAAAAAACCTCTGATTACTTGCGGCGGTGACATGTCTCCAGTCTCCACGCCGCCGGCCGTCGTCGTCCCCGCCGGCTTGTCACAGCGAGCCATGCTCTAGCTGGTCACAGAGGCGGGGACCACCATGTCTGTGCTCAACGAGGATGGCGCCGTCGCCGACGATTCCGACAGGCAGAGGTGCTCGTGCCTGCCGGCGTTCTGCTTCTGGGGCGCCTCCGGGTCCGGTGGCGGCGCGCAAGCGAAGAGGAGGCGGCGTCGCAGGCCCAGGTCCAGGCTCAGGCTGGCGTGGCCGTGGTTTCGGAGGAGCGGTAAGGGGGATGCAAGCGGCGGCGGCGGCGACGGCAGCAGCGAGAAGGGGAAGAAGCGGAGGAGGGGCGGGAGGCGGCTGCTGCTGCTGCTCAAGACGTCGCTGCAGCCCAAGAAGGCGCCCACGTCCGTCGTCTCCGGGGACAGCAGCACCCTACTGCCAGTGCCAGTGCCGGCCAAGGTACGTCTGATCCGCCGATCGATGGTGGAGGGAGTGGAGGTCGATTGATCGCGTCATGGGCGTGATCGGTGCTCGCTCCGTCGTCGTGACTCGTGACCACGACTATTCACCACTGCTTGCTCGATCGATATCGATTGTGTGCTTATTAACTACTTTACTGTTAATATAGTTATTAGTGCTTAACTTTGACGTCGACTGGATATATCATCCTTGTCATTTGTGGTGAGTAGGTGTGTGGTTTAACGGGATCGACCGGCGTCGTGGGCATGGGCGCGGGGCCAACCGCGGGAGGCTGCGTGATTGACCCACCAACGCCGTCGCCGCCGGCCTCTTTCCTTCTCTCTCTGCCGCGCGTCACTGTTGTCACTGTTTTCACGCGACACAAACGCAGAATAAATCTCTAGCATTGCAGCAGCAGGTAGTGAGGAAACGGCAATGGCAAGAAAAAGATACCGATAGATCACTTCAGTGTTTCTAGCTATTTCACGCTCCATTTATTTTTTTGTTTCTCCTCTCCATACCCCAATCTATGGGTCCCTTTGGCACCACTCCCATCCCACCCTGGCTTCTGCTTCCCATTGGTCCTGCTCCCTCGCGCTCCATACTCGGAGTGGTGCTGTTTGGTAGGGCTCCCACGGCTGCTCCAGCTCCCAACCACGGCGGAGAGGATGAGGGATGGGCTAGATTGACGTGAGAAAGAGCACAATGCGGGGAAAAGGGGCACAATGGCAATGCTTCTTGTGGGAGCGATGGGCGAGGCAACTACTGAGTGGAAGAAGATGGATATGGGGGAGCACGCGGATCCTGCAGGAAACACCCGATCTAAGTAGGTTGCCGCCTGATCTGAGCACGGGAGTCGGAGATATGAGGTGGAAGGGGAAGGCCATGGTCGGATTTAGTGCGAGGAAGGAGATCGGAGACGGAGAAGATGACGGTGGAGATAGGGATGTGGAGCTGCGGACTTCTCTATCGCGCAAAGAGGGAAAGTTGAGGGCTTTGGATTTTTTATTCGGCTATGGGACCTAGCCTTATGGACAGCCGGTCCAAATACATCATAAGTTGCAACTTAATTATAGACCTCTGCTGTGGGACCCACCTATATAGATCAGTTGGTCCATATACATTGAGCTTGCTCTTAGGTGTCCAATAGATATATAGAGACCTTAATCCATGGTTAGAAATCAATACTCTATTGGATTTAAGCTACGTCCGTACTCTTAATTTGCCGCTAAGCAGCCATAGAATTAATTATGTATATACACGGCCAGACCAGGTTTTTCAATTCAAGCTTTTCTTGGGCGACAGGCCGACAGTATATATGGCCAACGGGCCGGCACGGCACGGGCCCGTGCCAGGCACGGCCCGATGATGCACGGCACGACAGGGCCCGGCGTGCCTCTGGGCCGTGCCTCCCTGGGCTTCGTGCCTCGCCGATGGCCCAGGCACGGCCTGCCGGGCCACTTTTCGTGCCGGGCCGGCCCGATGAGCCCGGCTTTTTTAGCAGGCCGTGCCGGCCCGAGGCCCACTAAGAGAGTGGGAAGGGGAGGCCGGGAGAGCAGCAGGCAGCAGGCAGCTCCGCAACCGCGAGCCGCACTGGCGGCGTGGAGGAGGCGGAGGTGGCCGGTGCTTGCGGTGTGGCCGCGCGGGGGCGTGGAGGAGGAGGTGGCCGGCCATCCGGTAGCCACACTCGACGCCACCACGCTCGATGCCGGCGCTTGCGGTGTGGCCGCGCGGGTCGTGGAGCCGTGGAGGAGGCGGTCGCCGCTCGAGGGGGTGGGTCGTGATTCGTGAAGGAGGAGTCCGGATGCCGGCGCGCTCGAAGCCGGAGGCTGCGCGCACGAGCTGCGACCGGACGTGCGGAGGGAGCGACGAGCGAGAGCCAAGTGCGGGTGAGGAGTGGTAAGTGCGGCGCCGCGCCGCGCCGGTGCGCGAGTCGCGGACTTGCGGTGCGCGAGTGCGGCGCGTGGGGAGGCCGGGAGGGTGATGGGATAGGGTTTTGGGGGAGTGGGAGCGTGGGCCTTTAGCAAGCCAAGGCCAGCAGCGGGCCGACACCGGGCCTCCACTAAATTTCGGGCTGTGCCGTGCCAGCCCACGGGCCAGAGCAGCGGCCCAGGCACAGCCTGCTGCCTCGGGCCAGGCCAGCCCGGGCCCGCATGTCACTGGGCCGTGCCGTGCTCGTGTCGGGCTAAAAAAGCGGGCTTTGTGCCGTGCTGTCGTGCCTCGGGCTGCATGGCCAAGTATAGCCGACAGCAGCAAGCAACGCAATACTAAAATTGTTCTGGTCAGAATTAATCATGCATGTCATTTTCACGCCATGATGCCAATGGCCGCCGTTCATGGCGCGCGGCCAAACTAGCGGACCGGACCGAACCAAGCATTCTCTGTTGTAAAACAACCGGTAGCTGGAGCAAGGCATCTTCTTGTTCTTGCCTGGGGCCTGGCCCTTTTGAATACCAATGTTTGGCAAGGAAAAGTCAACTAGTTTAATTAATCTGCAGTTCTTCACTTCTTCAAGTTCGCTAGCTATCTACAAGGTTGTCCATATCACTAGTACTAGTTTAGCATGTTAGTTGATAACCTCTCCAATGATCTGACTATAACATATTATTATAGACTGACTACTATACTATAGCTATTATAGCTTTTATTACTCTCCTTGTCGTGTAGCATTAAGCTAATAAAATGTGTCGTTGATCTCTTGTAGCTAGTTAACGTGTCATTGTCGGAGACTGCCATAATAGTACTTTCTATATCGATTTGGTTTTGAGATTTTGCACACAGAATGTGTCTAATCTGCTAGCACTAGTTCAAGTTTTTGAAGGGGGTTTGACTCTGGCTGACGCCATCGCATTACACCATTGGACACCACTAATGGAGGCTAACACTCTTATTGGTTATAGTACAGATAAAGTGATCCACATAGATTCGAAAATGTTGACGCTGCTATTTACACAATGTAAACTATCACTATTTGTGGTTTGTACAGAAACTTTTTGTTTTTATCATGCCTCGTCTTTATTTCCTCTCCCTGTTCTTTTTTAGCATAGACCACCTTCTCTCTTCCAAACATACGTAGGTTCTACAAACCACTATAATAAATATAAAGCATCTACTTTTTTTATCTGATCCTCTCTGGGCTATAGGAAAAAAAAAAGTAGCGTTAGGGAAGGCATGCCATTAAGGCAACCACACAACTAGCGCTTTACATGTCATCACACGATTCAGTGCATGCATCAATATTCTCTAACGGTCGTCCATGCCATCGCTTAAACGCTCATTGTCATGGCGCACTCCGCAGGTGAGCAGTTACGGCGACGCCAAGAAGCAAAGCAACCGCAGGCCACCACGACGGCCAACGGTAGATGACGACGCGGCAAGCGGCAGCCGACAACCGCAGGCCTCGGCAACTGCTGCGACTGCGAGCACCGGATGGGCCACGGCGCCTGCTCGTTCTCGGCCGCCGGAGACGACGAGCCAGGCGCCGAGCCCTAGACCAACCGACGGGCCCGCTGCCTCCGGCCGAACCTGGCGAGCGCCGTCGAGGCGCCACTCGCTTCGTCAGCCCGGCGACTGCTCCAGCAGCGGCGGCGGCCTGTGGACGGCGGCGACGACGCTGGGCGTGATCGTGCTCCTCGGCCGCGTCGCCGCCGTGGTCTTCTTATGCTCGTGCCTGTACGGCGCGCGCTTCGTCCGGGCCTGGGCTGCCGGCGGCGCCAAGGCCCAGCTGAGAAGCGACGGCGTCGATGGCGTTAGTAGCAGTAGCCGGCGCTTCAGTGACCCGGTGGGGGTGGCCGCGGGCGACAAGGTCGACGTGGCGGAGATGTGCGCCACGGAGGAGTGGAAGAAGAAGAAGGTGTGGTCATGGCAGGGTTGCTCGACAGGGTCGGCAAGACACCCTCCTCGCGCTTTGGTAGGTCATCACAAGAGGACGCTGTAAATGGTGCCATTTAGTTAGGGCTTGAACGGTTTTGGGGCGACAACGTGGTGTGCTGGTGATGAACAGATGATAGGCTGGTAGCAGTCTTTTGCTTTTTATTTTTGTCTATGGTGAAATTGGCAATTTGACACGAAGAGCTGTGTACACGATTGGATGTTGCTCAATCGGCCCAATGGCTGGCTGGTATGGGATTGTGAGGACGACATTTGTGATGTCTGGGAACGGCCTAATTGGTTTTGGGGTGGACTTTTTAACCATTCGTTACGCGTGGGTCCAAATCGTTTTTTTAAAGGACGGCAAAAGCTTTGCTGTGATTTCTACTAGACGGGCAAAAGCTTTGCTGTGATTTCTACTAGACGAAGAAAGAAAAAAGGCAAATACCCACCTAGTTTTTTGAGTGGAAACTGGGTCCAAAAACCATACAACTCAGGGGAGTGCTCCACTCATCCTAGCAACTTTGGTACAACAACTGGGCAACTATCACAACTCACACCACTACTTCATCCAACTTGGTCCAAACGACCCAACTAAACAACTTAACTATCAACTAACAAGGACCGAAGAAGACGACGTCCTGCCGAGCGACACCAAACAACAAGGATCAACCGCGAAATTGGAATGGCTAGCCATGCCCCCAAGGAGGAAACGGCGCTAAAAGCGCTGACAAGGTAGCCCGCCAAGGAAGGTTTTCACCTGCAACATCCAGTACGGTAGAAGAAGAGGTAGGAAAGGACGCCTTCAAGAAGGGAACGACGTCCGCAGACGTTGTCGTCCACGCTTTCGCCCCCACCTCAAACCACCTCCACACCGTCGTAGCCAGAGGCTCAACCCTACCAGGAGGCAGGGTGCGGCGCCTAGACGTCGCCCCTAGGGACGCCGCCCAGGAGAAGCATCAAGGGAACCCGCCGGAGAGTCCGCCCCGCCGCATCCAGCAAACCGCCAGCAATGAGAGAACCGCCAGCTCCACCATGAAAACCAGCCCAGGAGAGGGGAAAGGCAGATGGCGGGGAAAAGAGGGTCGGGATCAGAAGAAGCCCCAATCGCCCAGCCCACCAACGTCCCCACCCCCTGCCGAGCCGGCCCCGCAACACCTCCAGCAGCCTCCGCGCCGAATTGCCGCTGTCACGCCCGCTCCCCAGCCCTCCGTGGATCTCGATCAAACCACATCACTGGCACCGGGCGAGGAAGACGTAGGATGCCGCAATGGGAGCACCAAGCACCAGCGCTGCAGAATTGACCACCGGCGCTGTGTTCCAAGACCAGTGGAGCCGCCGCCATGGACGCAGACGGCTCCCCGCCGGATCCGGCAAAGAACCACCGGATCCAGCCAGCAGGCCACCGGATCCTGCCCCAAGCCGCCGGATCGAGAGGGGAGGAGGCCGGCACCGGACCTTTTGGAGCCAGTCACCGACGGGTCGACGGAGGTCGCCTGCGCCGGATGGGGAGGCAGATCCGGCCGTGGGGAGGTGGATCCGCCCGCACCGGCGCCGGCAACTCCGCCCGCCAGCTCCTCCGCGACGTCGCCTAAATCCATCGCAGGAACTCCATGGGAGGGAGGGAGGGAGGGAGAGGACCTGGCCGCCACCTTCCTTGCCGTCGACTAGACCTCCGGCGTCGGGCTCCGACGGCAGCCGGGCCGAGGAGGCACGAAGAAGGACCCTGCGGCGGCAGCGCGGGGGTGCCGCCCGAGTCACCCTCAGGGAGAGCGACGCGGGGGCCTTGCGGGAGTGTTCGTCTTCCTAACGCCCGTGGGTCCAAATCATATAATGCAAAATGTTTTGCTTGGCCTATCAAATGAACCGTTGTTTGTATAAGCTTTAAGACAGAAAAGTTCTTATGCCGCTCCCAATATCTGTAGAGCTCTAGCATGACTGCATGAACCCAAGTGTCCAGATATTACTGCTAAGGCAATGAAAGGAGATGTACTACTATACCACTATGCCAGCAAGTATACTTTAACGCATCCTATAGTCACTTGTCATATCGAGTCTCGGAAACATCTTCAACACAAAATCACATTGGGAGCTGAGGGAGATAATACCCTCCCACATTAATCAGTGTTGTCCCCCATTAACTGGCATTACGATCCATGTTGCTTGGCTGTGTCTTGCATATGCAGACCTTGAGTTCTTCAAGTTTCTGAAGCATTACCAGAGACGCTGAATCCTGAGAACTCTTCTTGTCAGTCCGGCGCTCACCTTGAAGTGTAATGACCGTCACATCAGGTATGTGCAAGGTGATAGTTGAAACGAAGCTATTGAAGTTTGTGGTTGTAACCCCATCCAGAACAATAGGAGTCCTGTTGCAGCAAAAGTAAAATAAAAACAAATGTTGCTTAAATAATCTATCAGAAAATATTCATCCAGAAAAAATCGTTGCTCAGATATATAATTATGCAGATGATTGTTTAGGCTTCATGAATAAATAAACTAGCATCATATATATGAACACTAAACCAGCTAATTTTCTGAAGGTAGTCTTGTTTGAACCATGATTCTTAAAAGGTAAAAGACAAAGAAAGACAAAAAGTTCCTGAAGACCAAATGAGTAAGAATCACCAAAGCTCTTGTGAATGAAGTTTCACATTCTTTTACAAGAAAGTAATGTTTGGGGATTATTTGACATACCTAAACCTTTGTTCCACAAATTCAAATTCTGGAATTGGCCACTGCAAACTCTTGCATAGTCTAAAAAGTGCAGTCCGAGGTCCACCTTTATCCATTTTGAGAGGAAGAACAACTGAAATCATATGAAAGGCCATGGCATCTGAGTACTGTTAAGTATTTTGTGGCTGCTAGAACTAGGTACAGAACAAATCTAATTACTAATATTTCCTATTTGATAGCCTGGCCAGTGAGTACCATATACTCCATTCGTTCTAGATCATAGTTCACTCTAGCTTTGTCCTAATTCAAACTTCCCTAACTTTGAAGTTCTAATAAAAATATATCAACACCTCAAGTTCAAGTAAATGCACTATGAAAAATATATTTCATGGAGAATTTAATGAAACTAATTTGATGTTGTAAATGCTGATACATTTCTCTATAAATTTGGTTAAAGTTAAAGAAGTTTAACTTAGGATATAAAACTAAAGTGAACTATAATTTGGAACAGAGGGAGTAATAACCAAAACAGGGCATTACCTGCTGCTCTCACTGAGGAAAGACCTTCTAGGCTAAGACTGCCATTCACGTCAGGACAATCATGCCGTGATTCCAACTACAGAGATGCGATAATATTCCTTACTCAGAGAATCAGAATTAAGTTCAATACTTTGATGTGCCATTTTGTGGAAAACTCTCTATAAGCTTACACTTGTCAATTCCGATTGCAGTTCTGAAGAGACAATATCCAATTGCTTAGCCTTAGAGAAACATTGTTTAAGAGAAAGACCCCGTTTCTGCATTCAGGAAAAAAATTTAAAAACCAATTCTAGAATAGTCAACAAAACATACTCCCTACTTCCGAAACTTGATGACGCTCGAGAGGCAGATTTTGCCTGCAGTTCAAGCCACCGGTTGGAACCGTCATGGATTTCCGACAGGAAGGAGTAGCATCTATTGCCAAAGCAGCGATTACAATAGAATAGAAAGTTACACCCAAGGTGTGTAGTTGGGCTACCCATTAGCATCACAATGGACCTGCCCAACCCCTTGAACTAGACAATTTCTTGATATTTTTGTTTCTGTTTGAAAAGATATACCTTCAGGTCGACCAAAATTCGGGCTGCTGCCTTTGCCTTTGCACTTTTCCTATTTCTGTCATGCCCTTGTGCTATCAGCAGTTCATCTCGCAACTGCACTGTCATCTCTATAATTAATTCTTCTCCTTTACTAGTACATTTTGATTTTATGAAGCAACCAAGGTGACTACATAACTCCAGCAACTCCCGATAAGGTGGCAATGCAAGCTTATCAGGGGTAATCATTGGAGAAAGTAACGGTTCAACAATCTTCCAAACCAAATCAACATTAAAATTTACATCTATAAATATTGCACCAGTAATACTTTCCATGATGTCTCCAAGAACCTGTACAAGGAAATTAAAATTATCTTTCTAATTTGTGTCCATACTGTTGGCCTTGGAAAGTTCTACGTTGCTGAGTAAAAAGAGATAAACATTGCACAAACAATAAAAGCACATTTTTTATTTGGGAATATGAAAGAGAGCTCCATGTTATTCACTCAAAGATATAAAAACATAATAAAGGAAAATAGGCTGTTAAGCCAGGAACAGAAGTAGAACTAAGTTTTCTAACCTTAGGTGCTTTGCATGTAGCTTGTTGAAGGAATTCATTCTCTTTACCATGGTACTCCAAATTGGACCTGACATATTCTGTTACTTGCTCCAAAAGTATTCCAGATCCATGCTGTAGATGATTATGAATATTGTTTCTTACAACTGCTTGTGCAAAATTCTCATTACTAACCAAAGAGGAACGCAAGTCTGTTAATTCTCCAGGATCAACATCAGTGTGGGTAGCATAGAGATGCCGTGTGATTAAGAGATCCAACACAGAATCACCAAGAAATTCCAGTCGCTGTTACAAATCAGAAATTAAGACATGTATATCAACGTGACTTAAATGCAATAAATCCAATGTACTAAAACTCTGTTTCACTGACCTGGTAACAATAATCAACTCCTAATTCCTGTAGAGATGGATGTGATATGGCTTCAAGCAGAAGGCCTTTGACCGAGAAGTTGTACTTCAGTTTTGCTTCCAGTTCCTCAATATCTTTTAATTTTGATAAATAGCACATTCGAGATGCATTAGAATTAGATTTTGCTTTCTGCACTAGTTCCATATCACACCTGACATCAATACCAAACCACCTCATAACCCAAATTGCAGCAGCGATGCCACCACCAACATAATATGCTCCAACTAGTGCTTCAACACAATCAGATACTGTTTTTGAGCACATCCATCTGTGGCCTCTGTCACATGGTTTTCCCACAACAAAAGATGGGTCGTCGCTGATATATCCTCCAC